GCACCTTCATTCTTTGCTTCAAATGGGCAGTTAAAACAGCAAAGCAGATGCCCCTCTGATTAGCACCAAACCATGCGACAGCAGACAAGTCAGCACCAACCCACCTCCTTCTGATAGCGTAGGAACACCTGAGAGGCGCGCTGTAACTCACAAAAGGTCACCTCTCCCCTGCCCGATGTCGTGACGACCGGCATTGAGGTAAGCACATTAAAAGAAGGTCCTAGCCTCTCCCTCGCCGGCGTCGTGAGCGCTCTTGCCCTATGGCACTCCTCCTCGCCGCGACCAACACTGCTAATGCCTCTCGTCGTCTGACTTTGAGACGATAAACCGATGAGAGAGAACAAGAGAGAGTTCTCAATCGGATTCTTCTGCATGTACTCCTGAAAGTCCTGTAATTGGAAAATCATCGAGTTCCACACCACATCGTGCATTGACTGTCATCACATTAACACATCGATCTCATACAAGTCTAGCAGAAAAATAGACCTTTTTACGACAATAGCCATCCACGACAAAAGAGCCTATAGGTATAAACAGAACAACGTAAGTTCGCGAACATGAACCACGTGATAGCCACAATTAAACCCACACCAACTTCGCACCAAGGCCTCTCCGAAATGACAACACCATTCCTGTCAGCCCTTAGATCCTTGAGAAGCACATAACCCACAATCAACGATCAACCCAACGAGAACCTGAACAACATTTCTCCCACTCTGCGTAAAAACAGCCTAACTTCCACTACACTAATGGTGCCAGCACATCCCTACGTGCGGTAACAGCGACACACAATTGTGACTTTGTCCCATAATGAGCTCACCACAATTACTGGTTACACTAAATTCAGGCTGAAAACACGCCACCTAAGGCTACAATCATGCAAACTGTTCTCCTTCCAAAGGCAAGGCTGTGCCTTTCGCCCTTTAACCAAAATCGATAGCAAACACTTTGGCGTAAGACATTGGTGGATATGAAATGGGAGTGAACCTACAGCACTAGGGAGGGTTAGAAAGGCCACAAAATCGTTGTTGCCAGAGAGGATGGGATGAGCAGCAGACCTGCGCAGAAAGGTCTGCAACCCGCTGCAACGCCGATCCACAAACACAGAAGCACACCGATTGAACTGCGTCAACACCTTCTTCCCAGGAAGCGGCTACGTTTGTGACAAGATATACCAATTAACCCCTACACACCTTTCGTAACAATATCGTTCAAATCAAGTGCCCACACGAAAAAACACTTACAGGCACGAATAGGATCGCGTAAACCTGCCGAAGGCGGTTGTACAACCAGTCGAATTCTCGGTAACGTCGGTCCACTATGCAAACCTCAGAGGGATAGTCCTTGCGGTTCGCCTGCAATTTTAAGGCACATTACCACTTCACCAATACAGACGCATGATTGACACACCTCAGAAATACTTACCACCGTTTCGATCCTATAGACGATGTATGTCTCGTAGTTTGTAACTAGTTTGCTCACCCCTGTGATGCGAGCATGCACCTCGCCAGCAGCAGGCAGAGACGGTGGCGCCGCATCGACGCCCGGCTCCATAACACCCTTCTCAGCTTCTAACACAAGCCGCCCACTTACTTCAGATTCTTCCAACATGGTGTCTACAATAAGCGAGAAAGAGGGAAGGAAATGCATGCCAAGGGTTCAATGACGAGCTCGAATTCGTGACAAAATCCTCAAAAAAATGCACAGAAGGAATACCAATAGGGTCTTGAGCACATTTCCGAATTGCAAATGATCTGCGTGTACCTTGAAAGATGATGCAGTTCTATGGTGCTAGGATGGCAGCAAAAGCGACTCAGAAATGGATTGTTTTCAACCTCAAGGAGGGGTACGAATCGGAAACAAATTGATCTTAGTTACATGAAACTAGTCTTTGCATCAAAATATAAAGGCCCGAGACAATAAATCCTGCAATGTTGAGTCGAAACGATGCCCTCCCACACGCAGTGCCTCATCGACTTTGCTATTGAACTGATTAAAATGAAGACTAAGTGCACTCAACAAAAGGTTTTCGAGAGGAGGATCATGCGTATGCGCAACGGGAACATGCACAAGTAGAACCGAAAAACGGTTCGATAGGCAGACCAAATCATGCGAGCGCCTTAAAGTGAAGCAGGTCAAATAAGCCCAATAATCATGCAGAAAACAAAACGAGACCATCGCTTAGCATATGCGAACACATGAACACCAGCGAAGCGAATCAGTGCCATTTAGGGGAAAATTGTTGGCCGGAAAACAACG